GCCCGGGTCAAAATGCTTTGGACCTTACTCGATCGTCGTGCATATACCGCTGGTGAGCTTGCCACATCTACCGGGATCTCGCCAACTTCTGCCAGTAATCATCTTGCCAAACTGCTGGCAGCGGACATTATTAAAGTTGAAAGCCAGGGGCGGCACAGGTATTTTTCGTTTGCTCGGCCTGAAGTAGCTTATGTAATTGAATCACTGGCCACTCTTGCAAATAACAAAACGGGTAATAAACAAAAGAAGATAATTGCATCCGGTGGTATCACTTATTGCAGAACCTGCTACGATCATCTTGCAGGCTATGTGGCCGTTAGCATAGTCGATGCTTTGGAGAGAAAGCACTACATCAGGAAGAACCAATCGCTGTATGCGGTTACTCCAAAGGGATGGGAATGGTTTGCACAGTTTGGCATTGATAAGGATGCGTTCACTAATAATCGCCGCCCATTAGCGCGGCAGTGCCTTGACTGGAGCGAACGCCGACCACATATAGCGGGACAGTTGGGTGCCGCATTGTTAGAATCTATGTTGGATAAAAAATGGTTTAGAAAAGTTCAGTTTTCGAGGGAGATGATTGTAACGGCAAAAGGTAAAGATGAATTGTATAAAACACTGGGGATAGATTTAAGCCTACGATAAATAACGAGCGCGGCACCCTGCCGAACGACACTACAAGGAGTGGATACAAGAATGGAAATCTCGTCAAATAGGCCTGGATTGACGTTCATCTTTGATTCTATCGTTTGACGAATACGATGGTAACGAAATGGGTAAATCCTACCCTTTTTATGAGTGAACTAATATACCCCGGCAGAATTACTGGTTGAAATAGCTGGCACTTTTATTGGCACCCTTTTAGATTTTCATGCCACATTGAGCCCAAAGTCATTTATAGGTAATGGCAACCGCCAAAGCCGAACGCTTCACAACGGCTGGGTATCCGGAAAAAACATTGTTATGAATAACGGGGAAACTAATACTCTGTATAAGGCACTTGCGAAAGCAATTTTACTGGCTGCTGGAGTGATCATTTTGTTATGGTTTTTATTCAAGATTATGTCTGTGCTGCTGTTGCTGTTGCTTGCCATGGTTTTAGCTCTCATTATCAATAATCCGGTCAGCTGGCTTCAAAGGAAAAGCGTTAAGCGGGTTTGGGCTTCCCTGATTGTATTCGGCCTTATCTTTTCAGCCTTTACGTTGCTTGCATTATTCATTGGCCCAAAAGTAAATGATCAGTTGTCTGCGCTGATCACCAATTTACCGAAATATGCAAGTCAACTATCGAATACGGTCGGTGGGTGGTTTAACGATTACCC